CATGTTACCATTAATACTCTTAAGCAAAAAATAAGTATATTTTTCTAAACAAAAATCATTTATGAGAAGAATAGCAGTGATTTTAATTTCTGCAAATCTCTTTTGGACTGGTGAGAGCTGAATTCTATCTGCCTCTACATTCCCTGTTTTGTGATATCACATACCTTGTTTTCCCTGGAAAACCCCACAGGAAACTCGGGAGTGCAAGAGTGTGCAAAAGGCAGGTGACATACCGGCATTTCTACGAAAATAGTCTTTCATCTCAGGGGCCTCAGACACACTTTGATAACTGCTGCCCTACCATAGGCGAGACTCTACTACACAAGAGCCAGGCAAGGGTCCTGGCTTCTTTAATGAGTTACCACAGCCACACGCCTGCCTTCTCAGTGTTAATATTTCCCACAGCCTCCATTACTGCAGATGAGGATGTAATCCTCAACTGGGCCCTCTAATCCCAGAAGACTGCCAACCTTGAGAGGGAGGGCCCATCTACCATCCCTACACCCCGCACAGTCTATTTTGAGTCAAGCCCTAGATAACTGCTAATCGGCACCGACCCTTGTGTCTTATTCCTGAGGTTTATCAAAGGAACCAACAACTGGATGGAACTGCAATTTCCCTGCAGATAAGCAAGGCTGATAAACCACCCCATTCCAACATCTGATTCTGGGGCTCTTCAAAACCCGGGAAAGGCCCCACTTCATAAAAGATGGGTACTCTGCCTGCCCTTCCTGGGGCGTTCTGGGAGGCTGCGGCTACGCAGGGCTACCCAGACTCCCGGTCCCAGCCCCAGCGCCTGAGGAGGAGGAAAGCCCGTGGCTGTGCCCCAGCCCTGTCCCCCCCACTCCGCCCCAACCCGCTCGCCGGCACCACAGCCCCTCCCCGACCAGCACACCAACACGAATCCCACCCCGGTCCATGTCCAATGGCCCCGCCAATGTCGCGGCAGTACGTTTACCGTCTGTGGAACGCCACCCCAGATAGGATGTCGGCTGCCGACTGACCAGGCCAGACCTAGTCGCCCGGCCGAGCAAGCCGCCATCCCCAGCAGCAAGCACTGCCGTGGTCCCGGGCAGCTGCACACTTTTGGAGCCCTCTGCACGTCCCAGAAGCACACGCTGGCCCGTGCGGAGTGGGGCGCCTGTAGCCATGGTGACGCCGCGGGGCCCTCCCCTAGCGCTTGCGTCTGAGTCCTCCCGAGGCTAGACGTGAGAGGGCAGAACTTACGAAGCCAATGGGAGCCAGGGCGTGGCCACGACGGGGGCTGGGGGGAGGCTTATGGGACAGCTGGGCGGGGCCGAGGCGGGCGGGGCCGCGCGGAAGTCCTTACCTGCAGGTGGCACCGGCTGGAGGCTGGGGTGGTGCTGCCACCAGTGAGCGGGGCAGCGGGGCGAGGGCACCCTCACCTGTCCGTGTGCGGTGCTCAGTCTGGGCTCCGCGGCCTCCACTTGCACTGGACGTGGACCCAGGCTACCAGTGGGCAAGATAGAGGACTGAGCCCAGGCACGCACGGCTGGCCAGGTAGGGCACCTGAAGTGCAGATCCGCCAGGCCCACTGCTGGCCTTGAATTCGCGCTGCTGGGCAGTTTCCAAGAAGACGGGATCTGTCCCATAGAGCAGGGGTGCCAAATGCCGGGTTGGGTGCGGTCTTAAAGGAGAGCCACGGTGAGAGGGAGCAGAGCAGCCCCTGTGTTGGTGGGGCTAGGAATTTGGGGTATGGGGTGGGGATGGTGTGTGCCATGCTCCCCAAGAACTCTCATCCCCAAGCAGGGGACCCTGCTCCCTCCACCCTTCACTGCATCCCCTGCCTTCCCCAGCACCACCGCCCCTGCCCCTGGAGTGTCCCATGACCTCTCCCCACACCAGGCACTGTCCCTGTTACAGGTACTGAGCTCCTGGTGGTTCCAGCCCGAGGGTAGGGGCTGTATCTGACCAGTTAGGATGCCTGGAGCCTTTGTATGAAACCTCAGACCATAATGCAGCTGTGCACAGAGGCCCCTCAAACAGGATTCCCTGCATGGCCCTCCCCACCACGCACCCACAGTGCAGCTGCCACACCAAGCCAAGCCTGCCAGAGGACAGCTGGTTCCTCTCCTCCTGTCCCTGGGCAAGAGTGCACCGCCCACACTGCTGGGTATTTAGGGGGCCTTAGAAGAGCAGCTGGTATTTTCATGGGCAAATATTTGCTCTTTAGGGAAGATTTGGGTGCAAAGACATGTAGAGTATGCTTTTTCTGTTGCCCTGGAACTGGTGACTAGAATACAAACTTAAGTCAAAGTAGTTTTTGGAGAGATCTGCAAAATATCTAACCCAAAGATAACTGTTCCCCAACAAAGGCAACACCACCTGGCTGGTGGGGGGCCTGGACCCTCTTTCTGAAGGTTGGGGTTTGCACCTTCCAGCTGTGACAGCCTGAAACAGCTCTGAACATGCTCCAACAGGCTTTGCCAGCACAAACTGCCTTTATTTTGAATCTGGGTGAAGGAACCAGCTGAGAAATCTGGGTAAATCTTCCTGAGTGTAACCATGCCCATTATGCTGAATGAAAGAACGGCTCTCCACATGCTAACATCTTAGAATTGAATGTGTGTCGAAGCCTTCATGCATGTAGCATGTTGGGAACAGTGTTTCATGGTGAGGGGAACTATATAACTTACATGTGTATGGGGAAGCACTCGCTCGAACTGGGTATTCCAGCGCATAATGCCTTTATTTTGAAACTGGCTTCTCAGAAGACCTGTGGTCTCCACTGCAGGTCTGTCTCCAAGCCCAGGGCCAGCATGGTGACTCTGCTCCCCCTGTCTATTCTGGGAGGTCTAGGTGTACTCCATGGCCCTTCCACCATTGTTTCTTTTGGAAACACCCCGCAGATGAAATGGACCTGAGAACAAGAGAGCTGGATGCCAGCAGCCACTGCCCAGTGTGTGGTTCCTGGGAGGGGCATCTCCTCTCCGTGGACTCTGATCTCCCTTCCCCCCACCCCCACCCCTCTCCTCCTGCATTTCCTGATTGATTCCGGGATAATGGTCAAT